AGATAGTTGTACAGCATAATACAATGTACAGCTTCTTATGCGTAGTAAAATCCATAATTTTTAACTCTATACACATCACTTTTGCTGCTGTAGTTAAGGCTTTTTGTGACATCCTGGTTGATATCACGGTGATCTATTCCTGTCTGAACGAAAGAGGGCAACTTAGGGAAAAAAAAAAAAAAAAAAAAAAAAAGTATGTGAAACTGATTCTTAGCTTATTTAAAGGTATTTGCTGATGTTTACAAGTTTCTAATTTTTGAGCTTTAAACGAAGAATTTCATTTCAATTTATTATGTGCTAATCAAAATGAAAGTAACACAGAGGTTTTCCAGCTCTTTACTATGTAATTTACCCCCCTGCATTTTCATGAAAAAGCAAGAGAGCAAAGCAGGAAAATGATACAAGGAACACCAAAAATTCCCTCCCTGACCCAATAAAAATGTTCAAATTGAACAAAATTTGTCTCATTTGAATGAAAAACTGTGTCCAATCAGTTTTATTTTTTTCATTTTTTAAAGTATAAAATTGTTTAAAACAATAATTTTATCTAATGATCATACACCATCATATATCTTCCATCTGATATAGAAGGTATCACTAACTTTTTTTTTTTTTTTTTTTTTTTTTTTTTTCTGTCTGAGGCAAAATTGAGTAGTTTGCAGCATACCATTCTTGGAGGCTAGCCTCCCACTGCCTTCTACAACCTTTCTACTGACATGTGGGGTATTAGTATACAAGAAATATCATTTACTAAATATTCTGTGAATTGCTTCTCTTTAGTGTTGAGAAAGATAAGCTTGTCTTTGGTAGTTTCAACTATAATATTATGATATCACCAAAAAACATTAGGCGGGATTGAATTCTACAGGGCCATATTCAGATTTTTTCATCTTCTGCTGGGAACTTGAAAAGTGTCTTGTGTTCAAGGCCAGCCTTAAGAGAGTGGGACCATCAATATGGTCAAAAAAGAGAAGGACAGGAATGTACACTATTAGTCTGAAAAGAGATTTCCTATAGCAGGTAATATAAAATAGGGAAAAGGTTTGATGATACAAGAGTGTAAAGCAGTTTTTGTATCTGATCAGCTGTGAGAAAACAGAATTTTTAATGAGAGAACCAAACTTCAGCTCTAATTCTGACTACTTTCAACAGCTGAGGTAGTTTTTTTTATTATTATTATTATTTAATTATTTAATCTTTTACTGTAGAAATCAAATATTTTCAAAAATAAATGCCTTTTTTTTTTTTTTTTTTTCCCTCATGAAGACTCTTCAGTGCAGTGCGGCAGAGAATTGAAATTCTCACCTATCTATTTTTTAACAAATTGTAGGTGTAAGGCCATGACAACAACTGAACTGAAAAGCACTAATGACTAGTTGAAAGAACTGAATTCAGTCAGCCAGTAGCACTGTGGAAATGTCCTTTGACAAGGTCCTTAATGTTATCACAGGATTTCCTTTTTTAGAGTTAACACAGTATTTTCACTTTTTCCATAGCTATCTATCCTGGATGTTCCTAAGAAATGTGTGTCTAGTACCTCAATCAATAGCAACTTTACCACTTGCTTTGCAATCAAATGGAGCAGGTCTTTTTGATTTTTTTTTTTTAAGAAAAAAAAAAAAGAAAGATTACAACTCTGCTTGGACTCTATAATGCTAGTGTCATATCTCCCACTCATATTGTTGGAGTCAGAGTGTCATATAGGTGTCCTGAATATTTCTTATTTATGTTCTGCATAAGATAATCCAATCCACCAGTTGTTTGTTGGTGGCTTTAAAATGAATTTGAGTAATTCATTCTGCTAAGCGGGTTGGTCCTTCCTTCTTCCTGTGCTGGACTTGCCCTACTCACTACAGGCATACAATAAGAAGACTTCTCTGCAACAGATGTTTACAATACATGTGGTAAATAATGGATTTCAATTGTTTATTCAAAGTAAAAAAGACTTTGCAGACCTACCCGCTTTGCATGGCTGGCGTCAGCCTCCCCACACACAGAGTCTCCTAGTTTCCAGGAAGAAGCCCAGGGCATCCTCCTCTCTTGTAAAATGTTTCTGCCAGAAGCACTTTAAAAATGCCTAGCAAAGAGAAACGTGCAAAATGAAGCATTTCAAAGGAGGAGGGAAATAGACAAGAGGGGAAAAATAAAGCCCTGCAGGAAAAGACTTCAATTTGTCAATTGATGCCAGTTGATAAGGCATTTAGTGTCCAGTAAATGGCCACTCCCACATAGAATTTATCTTGAGAATTAATAAACATTTATATGAAAGTTAAAGCTGTACCTTTTAAAGTTCTGCTCTAGGGATTCAACTCTGTTCACTTTGTACTAAAGTATCAAAGAGATAGTCCATGTCATAAAAAGCTTAACATCTGAAAGATGTAAAGAGACAAAGGGTGGGTTCATTCCTTTGAATTTCTCTTTTTTAATTCTGGGAGAGAAACCACTGCACAGGATTAGCTAGTCTGGAGGCAGAGGCTCATGACTGTTTCTTGGGTTTTGGTGTGTTTAAAGCATCTTCCCATTATCACTGTGCCCAAATATTTGTGGTATTTTTGACTTAATTGAATTGACAGCTAGAGATATGCTGGTCAGCAGCGAAAAAATAAGTTACCTCTCCCACACCTGTTTTATGATAACATTTGTATCTGGAAGCTATTTTTCCACTTCTAAGTTAGAACTACAAGGACATGGCCATAATGATACCAAGCACTGTTACCTTCTAATTTTGAAGGTCCTGGCTATGGGAGCGGAATTCCTAACCTTTCCTGAGACATACATTCCCAGTGCAGCAAACAGGGAGTTTAGAGATGGAAAGACTGGACACGCAACACCATAGCCTGGATGAAGAGATGTCATTACTCCTACTTCAGCAAAATACTAACAGTTAAAGCAGTCATCCAGGAGACAGAGTCAAGTCCCCTCTTGAGGAAGAGGGGAGCAGGGTCCCCTCTGTGAGAACATCCCCTGATGTGAGAACATCCTCAGAGGATGGTCTATGGCAAGAAAAGTGGTAAGGTGAAGGGTCTCTTATTCAAGACTAGGCACTAAGAAAGAGCAAGCTCACAAGAAGAGAGCAATCTGAAGGAACCTAACTACCTCACCAATGAGGCAGATGCAAAGATGCTCATTTTATTCACAAGGCCTCAATATCTTCTTGGAGTTGGATTTAGCCTGTATTTATTCATATCCTATCATTAATGCAAAACTTGGGATGCTCCCTTTCATACTTGGATAAGTTTCTCTCTGAGCTCTGGCACAACCTTAAACTGGTCTTAGCTTTTCCTTCTTTTGCATATTGTTGACTGTTGACATCAATGTGGTGATCTCATATTCTTCCAATAATATCCTAATTGTGAACACCATAAAGAAGTATTATGTCCATGGGAAAAACAAACAAACAAACAAACAAACAAGCAAGCATCTTAGTTCTGTCTTTTAAACATTTTGGCAAACAAGAAGCCACAAACAGTAAGAGACCCATCATGAGAGACCATACATGAAACCTTTCATAAATCTGGAACCCCACTGGGTGCTTTCACAGGGTTTAGCATTCACACAGCAATGCTAATGCCCTACAATCACTTTGAAAAATCACCTTTTTATCCATGTCTCAGATATTCCTTCCCCAAAGTTCGAGAGGATGGATGAACCTTGCAGGATTTCCAGAAAGACAGCCAGTCTAGGTACCATCAGAAAGTGACTCACATGACAGTTGAATTTTCTTTTCTTGCCACTAAGACACAGCTTCCTTTTACCCATAAAAATCTTGCCTGAGCCATTTCTCTGTAGCTAACTGCAGTGTCTCAAGGAAAGCAAAGCAGTCTCTGGGCCCACAGTATTCTATGTTGTAGTGTTAGAAGATAGCATTTTAAGCCCAGAACAGAAACTAATTAGAAATCAGTGCAGGTTAGTGCTGAATGCTGGCCTAATATTCTCTTATTCCGAACCAAGGGTCTGAAATCAGACATATTCTGCACTAATTAGAGTGCCTGAATGGTCCCAACATGTATCTTGCCACAGGAGCTCCCAAAGGTTTCCTTAAAATACCAACATCACCAACAGCAGGAAAATGAAAAGCTGCAAAACTGCTCCTAGGTGAGCCCAGGGGAGCAATATGAGTTGCTCAGCTGTGGAGCAGTGCTTGTACATCCCTGTGAAATAGCTGACACAACAGGCCATTTGGGAGCCCTTCCTTAATGGATATGACAGCACGTTGCAATAGGGAGCTGCAAAGGTCTAGGGGTCTTGCAGAAGACTAGTGAACAGTGTCCCTCATCCAGATACAGTCCTGGAAAGCCATGGGCACAAGAACAAGTAGCTGAAGGGAAGCTAAAGCTGTTTCACTGAAGAGTGGTGTTGCATACTCAATTTAGCTGAATCAGGCCATCATATGATTATTGGAAGCAGCCACAGTCTGGGAACAGAAGACAGAAAAATGTATTTTGTCAAATAGGTACCACTGGAAGAAAAAATAATTCAACTACATTTCAAAAATCAGGTTAAAATAGGCTGTCTTTATTTTCACAATTATATTTGATGTGCTCACAATATTTTGAATACCTTATTTGAGTATGTTTTTATGTTCCATTATGAAGTCAATATATCTGAATGAATCACTAAATTTAACATGTTAATATTTCATAAACTTTATCTGACACTGTACAGCAACCTTCCAGCATTACTGACAGAAATTATTGTTACCTTGGCAAACACATTAGCATTTCAGAAAACAACCGCAACAACAACAAAAACAGTTTCTCCTCAATGAAATGCTAAGAATTTCAATGACATGGAAAGTTTCAGTGTGGTGGGGTTTCATCCCAGTTCAGAATGAAAGCAAATGTCAGATCAGTGAGTTTTCTCATGGAACAGGAGTGCCATTCTGGACTGGCTCTCTTGATTGTAATCTGGAATTGCCCTTATGCTGAGAAAGTGTTGGAAGGTCAGTGAGTGCATCTGTGGTAGAGCACAACCAGTGACGCCTTTCTTTTTGAAAACAGCAATGCGGCCAGCTAACCAGCTGACAAGCAGAAGTAAACAGCTGCTTCCTGAAAAGGGGGGAGAGAGGATCAGAGAAAAGGGACATGAGATCGACATGTTGAAGCATCCTGAGTCAGCAGGTGAGGTGACAAAGTTTGCTCCTGTCCCCAGAGCCACATGAGACTCCAGAAGTGCTGACCTGGGCTTACCACTGGCTGAGCACCCATGCAGCTGGGGGACAGAGGTTGGATGCACTTTGCAGCCACAGAGAACCCACGGTGTCCCTGCTGACGCAGGGCCCTTTTAGACAAGAATCATAGGAAACAGGCAGCCGGGAAGCAACAAGTACAGCTTGCAGCAGTGTCAGCCCCAGCTGAACTGCTGCTTATGCTGCCAGCAGCCAGCAGACCCCACTGGAGTCTCGCAGGTGCCCCTGTGGGCACGAGGGTGGCAGGCGATGACAGCCCCATTAGCCAGCCTCCGGGGTGCTGCTGCTGGCAGCGGACTGTGCAGTGCTACACCATGCTGGGGGCAGCCTGCAGGGAGCTGGGTGCTCTCTGCAGTCCTGTGAAAGCTCACAGATGTGAGCAAAGACTTCCTTCCAGCACAGGTATTCCCAGAAATGGTCTGTATTCCAGCTCACATGCACTTTGACTCCTTAATCATAAAACCAACACTTCTTGTTTAATGTTTTCTATCAAAAAAAGAGTGGCTCACCTATGCAGATGCTAGTGTTGCTTTCCCCTATTTTCTGAAACATTTCAAGCTTTTGATTTTGAAGGAAGAGGAAAATGTTTTTTGGCTCAGAGAAACTATGTTGTTTGCTCTACAGGCAAACTTAAATAGCTCCTGAGTAGGAGCACAGGACAGATGCCCTATGTCTATCAAAATATGCTATTCATTCTCCTTCCCATCTAGCTTGTGTCTGTGCAGGTTTAATCAAGTCATCTTAATTCTGTCACTCACAAGCTACAATTACACTGTGCCTCACAGAGCCTCCTGTCTGAAATGGGACTCTAAAGCATGAAGAAAAGCCTCCTCTCCTCTCCTCTCCTCTCCTCTCCTCTCCTCTCCTCTCCTCTCCTCTCCTCTCCTCTCCTCTCCTCTCCTCTCCTCTCCTCTCTCTCCCTCCTCTCCTCTCCTCTCCTCTCCTCATCCTCTCCTCTCCTTCCTCCTCCTCTCCTCTTCCTCTCCTCTCCTCTCCTCTCCTCTCCTCTCCTCTCTCTCCCTCCTCCTCTCCGTCCTCCCTCTCCTCTCCTCTCCTCTCCTCTCCTCTCCTCTCCTCTCCTCTCGATTTATATCTCCTTGTTTTCTTAGTCACAAACCAATAACTTTTGGCCTGGATGCTTAACATGACCTTAATTACAAATTGTTATACTCTTCTTCCTGTGGCACAGAAAAACTTTCTCAAGAAGTCCTGGCTGTTGTGGTAACAGAAGTTTCCTAGGAAATCCCAGACAATGCTGAATCACACGCAAAATCACAGAATGGTTTGCATTGGCAGGAACCTCTGGAGGCCATCTGGTCCAACCCCCAGCGCAAGTATGGACATCAAGAGCCAGTTGCCCAGGACCACGTTCAGGTGGCTTTTGGAGATCTCCAAGGAGGGAGGTTCCAAAACCTCTCTGGGTAACCTGTGCCAGTGCTCACTCACCCATACAGAGGGGTGCTTCTTCCCCTTTCTTCTCAATGAAGCTGTTATTAAGTCACTGAGGAGGTTTTTCTTTTTTCTCTTTTCACAGAATATGTTCAAGGGAAGAACATTTTCCAACCTCACACCCACAGCATTTCTCATCTTCTGGGCCTGATGTGGAGTAGGGATCTTACAGTCCATAAATAAAACTATAAAAAGCCAACTTGCTTTGAGATAACACTTCACTGACTCTGTGTGACAAGAGTTAGAGGAAATACCACACTGCCAAGTGTGTCCATGGGGCTCAGGAGAATGTGATAAGACTGTTGCTATCTGGGATTCTCACAATATCTTGAAATTAATAGAAAGCTCCAATGTTTGTCTGAGTGAAAGGGACGTGAAGCAAACCAACAGCTGTGGTAAGGGGAAGGATGAGAGATAGTTGAAGAAGGGCTTCAGATAATCATCTGTGTCTTGATTTTGTTCTCTGGGTTGCAGTAGTGGCACACGCAGACACCTTACTGCTGGCCTGTGCTGCTCTGAATGTTGTCACGTTGAGTTGGTACTCAGAATATGCCAAAGACAGCCTTGCTCTGTGGTTCCCTAAGGAGTTTTCCAAAGAAGCCACAAGATGAATATGTCCCTCAAGGTCTATGGAAACCCTCACAGGGAACTGAGAGGCACAGATGTGTCAGTAATATCAGGTATCTGCCACTGCAGATGTCCTCCTGGACTCCCTGCCATATGTTTTTACCATTATATGATTTCCTCCTCTCATTCCTGTAGCCGTAACTCATTTTTCTGTATGATGCCTAAAACCTGTTTGTTTTTTTGTTTGTTTGTTTGTTTTTTTTTAATGCAGAAACACCCGATGCTGTGCTGCAAACAGCTCAGAAGCAGGTACAGGTCACATTGAAGTAAGAAGCAAACCTCTCCGAGAGCAGCCAAAGCTGCCTTGGCATATCAGTGCCAAGATGCTCTCTCACCCCCACCTGATTCCTGCATGGTGCCCACGTGTGATGACACCTGCTCACACGACACCATTTCCTCCCATTTCCTCAACATGCAGCTTGCCTGGCATGTGCCGGCTGGCTTTGGTGCGCAGCAGGGTGCTGCAGGCCTGTTTCTCCAGGGCTGCCAAGAGGCTTGCAGAAAGGCCCTGGCTCAGTGCTCTCGCCGGCTGTGCTCCCTGGTTACATGGGCCAGCCTGCTGGTCTCAGAAAAACCACCAATCCCCAAGCACTGTCGTGCTTCAAACCTGGATGAGGACGTGGGCCAGGGCATGGGGAAATATCACTGGACCCCAGCCAGTGCCTGAGGATTTTCACTTGACTTGCAGGAATGCAAAATAACACCGGCAAAGACTAGCTATGGTGCCAGGTCAGGCCTCTTCTATCTCCTTTGTATTTATAACTGTAATGTGAACTGTCATGGGGCTCACTTATATATGACTTTTAGAAGGCAGCTTACAGATCAGCTCTGCCTTAGAAGTCCAGTGTTTTTATAAGACCTTATTCTAAAGATCTTTCTCCTCTCCCTGAATACGAGGCAAACCACTATAAGACAGGTAATTTCTGTGCAGAGCAGTGTGCTTTGAGCCAGTGCTATAAAGCAATTGGGTCTGTTTTATCTGTTGTTACCTTAATAGGAATCATTTCATTTCTCATTTTTGAGGAGAGGAAGGGAGAGGAAGGAAGGAAGAAAATGAGTTGCCTCTGTAATTCACCTCCCCTGACAAAGCTGGTAGTGCCTTGCTATTCCTCAGAAAATGAAAAAAAAAAAAATATCCAAAGGAATGATGTAAAGACTTTATCATTTTGGCTGGCTGGTATGTCCAATTGCAGCTTTCAGTAAATAAAAATGGAAAAACAAGCTCAGCTCCAGGCTGAACAGTAAACACAGAGGCAGTCTGGTTTATGCAGACTGTTTGAAGTATGCATTTGAAGAAGACCTGGGAAGAGGCTGAAGCCAGCAACCTCTCTGCAAGGGATGAGTACCCAGCCCTGCCCTCACCCTAGAGCAGCAGCACAGTTGGGAGGGACTAAAAGCCAGATATTCCACTTCCATTGCTATAATCATCCTGGCTACAGAGGTATATAAATACAGGATCACGTGCAAAGGAAGCAGCTCTGCAGACAGAGATTAAGAGATAACTATAAGGGAAAAAAATATCAGCGAGCTATGAGGCAGCCTGTAGAAGGCGAACGGACTCCATCAGTCCTCCAACCACATACCTACCAGCACTCAAGTTCCTTGTTCGTGGAGTGCTGGCACAGTATTCGCTGACTCCGCATGTCCCGTCCAATACATGTTTTCAGCACTGACAACTGGCAGCCTGCAGTCCTTGGGGTTTCTAAATAATCACTTATAGCTCCACTTATTCTTTAATGAACATTCATCTTCCATGCCTGGGCATTTCTTTTGTTACTCAACCACAACCTCATTTAGGTGTTTTTTTTTTCTTTCTTTTCTTTTTTTTTCTTTTTTTTTTTTTCCCCCTATTCTATCTGTGCTGTTCTGGAGAGGTGTCATGGTTAACAAACAACAGTGTGTCTACTGTGACTCAGTTATATTATTAGGTTATAGTGGGAAGTGATGATTTTCATGTAGAAAGAGAGAACATATAACTCACATTATAAAAATATGTCCAATTATAACTCCTATTGACAGCAATAGAATCAAAAGTAAGCCTATATATTGAACGTATTTTGGGTTAACTTTATAGATAGCATTATGTGACTAAGAATAATAGGTACCAGATTTTTTCTTTGCTTACTGAGTCCTTGGCAAAGAAGCCAGACACGGCATCTACTCATAAGTATTGGAAAGGTTGGCTCCCACCAGCTTTGGTTTTCCCTAAGAGGATAAAGAGGGGTATGGAGCCATGGCCTGCAGCTCCTGCTGATCCAGCCAACAGAAGTGAAGGACAGCAAGGAGAGACTGTTAGCTGAATTTGGCTTAGCTGCATGAAATGTGAGCCAGACATTTAAGGTATGGGAGATGCAGGCACATCCAAGCTCATACCCTTTGCAACAGGTCCAGAACCAGAAGTGCCAGGTCTTTCACTATGTAGAAAACAAGCTTCAGCCAAGTGCTGGCACATGGCATACTACAGCTAATGAATCCTGTTAGACTGGGCTGCATAACACGTGGAATTTACTGGCTTCGGTCTCTTCAGCATACTGAATTTCAGTATACTGAACAAGCCTTGAGCAGACTGATGTACCAACAAGTACTGTCTCAAGGCTACATTTGAGCTTATGATATTTGTCTAGACAGGATCATTGGTTAATATCTCAATCAATTTTTAAATGGATAATTGTATTTTCTTCTTCTTCTTTTACAAAACAGAATTATTTATTATAAAATGTCTATATATGCTTTTAAAATTAGCAACACAGTCAAAAACATACAAATACATCTGGATCATGTCATCTCTGTATATATATGCTTGCAGTTTATGTGGATTAAATCTACATGCCTGCTACTCCACACTTACACCACCATGGCTTGGAGCAGAACTTGTCTCTAAACTGGACTGGAGCTCTTTAGGATATGGTTATATTGTAATTATTTCTTCTGGCTTTAGAGTCAACCTTACAATATATTGTTCTTAAAGGCTTCCTCAGAAGTCTAATGATTACTGAGAAATCTCAGCTTTCATTTAAGGCAAAGCCAGGAGGTTTTAGACACCACTGTCCAAAATATGTGAATCCTCAATTATTATTATTATTACTTTTTAAACTTGCAAACAACAACAACAAAACCCACAACCCCTCAACATGGCTATTTTTTAAAATCATGTGATTTAAAATCACATAACTTGGTGGGTGCAGTGGGTGAGGTTTCAGTTCTTGTTTTGGCACTGGTGTGCTCTGTGTTCCTCTTTGCCCATCATTAACCATGTGTTCAGATATAATAATAAGCCACAAAAGCACCACAGCAGCATTTACAAACACAACATAGCAACCCCTCTCCTTAAACATGGTGTTCTAGTCCCAGCACACCTAAAAGGCAGGTGTTATTAACAGGAAGCTTATATAATGATATATCACATCTTGCAATGGAACAAAATGGTGAAAGGTCAGCCCAATGATATATGTAGAGGGTAGGCTTGTAACTAATGGCTTCCTAAAGCAGATGAATGAGAGCCTGGTCTGAGAGCAGGTTTTATCTCAGAAAAACTGTCATTCCCCTTCTTAGTCTTAGGATATGACATGCCAGGCTAAAAAAGCA